GCGGTTAAACAAAGTTTTCCTACCCAAAAAGTCCAAAGAGGCCTCCACCATATTTAGCTTTCTTGTCTGCTTCGTGCAACAGTTTCACTGCCTTGGTTTCATTTTCAGCCATGATCGTCACCAGTTGCCAGCAGAAATTGCTACGAGCCTTCAACAATCACCGTTAAAACTCTGCTGTAACGAGTCGACACAGGTTACAGTCTGTGCAAACCCTGATTTTTAAGTTCAACTGGTTTTTTGCAATGCGTATAACAAAACAGAATTTCGGAACCTATGATTCACTCTTTTCAATATCAATTTTCCTAGTGTCAAGAAAAGATCTTCAAAAATTTGATTTCCAATGCTCTGCAAATTATTACTGTGTCAAAAACTTTTGCGAGAATTCTGCACTTTTTAATTTATAGCGCTGAAAAGTTTTGTGTTATTTTTATTCCTTGTTAACTACGCTTCAGTTAGATTCTGATTGGCTAACTTTGCTCAGCCTACACAATCTTAACGAATCATCATCTGGTAGGCGTGACTACAGGGGCTATTGAAGTTCTTTTGTCCATTCCAACGGTTCGATAGTCGAGCGTAGCTGTGGTGATTTGCTGTGTTTATTATAGATCGGTAAGAAAACGAAGGAAAATGGTAAGGAATTTCTTTTTAAAGTTTACTAAAAAATTCTCTTTGAGAAATGTTAATGAGTGTTGCTATTTTGTTCAATAACCTCGTTAATGGTTGGAATGGCGTGTGCTGAGAATTGATCGATAATTCATACTGCTAAAGTGGTTTTGGAATTTTGGATTTATCTATGTTTGCATGCTTGCATTGTTTTTGAAATGCATGTGTATTTTTCGTTAACTGCAGTCTTCTGGAGTGGCCGTCAATCATGAATGTCAGACGACGTTTAGCCGCATGGCGGAGGGCAAGAAGGATATCCGATACATCATCTTCAGCATTGTGAATGTAAGTACTGCATTTTTTTGTTCGTTTCTTCGTGCATCGACCGAGTGACTGAGGGCCGAGTGCGCGAGGAACAGCTATACAGAAATATTTACGTTTAACACATTCGAGTTCAAAGCTTGCTGATGAGACTTATCCAATCGCGCGCCTGCTGCGTTTCGCTGTCGATAATGCATCAGCAGTAGCGTCATCACCGCTTCTTGTTCTGACCAGTATGAAGGCAGCAGCAGTCAAATAGTTTTTCTGACGATTACATGCAGCGTCAACTCGTTATGAGTCAATAGAGTTACTTTTGGATGCTCTTCGTGACCAGTCGACTGCAAACCTTGCCACAGTGTATTTGATCCTTAATCAACAAGTGCTGTCTTTCATCGTTCCACCAGTTTTCGTTATCGTTAAGGCATCGCGTGTCTCAGCTTCTGAGTAAGGCATTGCTAGATTTGTTGTAGGACGAAAAAGTACTCTGAAAATGGTGCATCCTTTTTCACATTGTTTGAAAATGAATGACAAAGCTGCTGCTGCGTCTTCCTGGCACGTATTTGAAGCAGCACACTCTAACATAGCGCATATCGAAAGTTTGATCCGTCAGGATACGTTTTTGCTGTCTGAACTTGTGATTCCATTCTGTTGAGCTTGTTTCCATCAGGCACATGACCTTGGCTTTCTAAGTGTCATCAAAGTCATTGCTTAAACCAAAAGAGGCTATTCAATAACGAGCGGAATTTTTTATCCTGCTCTGATTCGTTTCTCGTTCTTCAGAGATAAGCTAGGTAAACTCTATTCTTTTGAATACACGTCACTAGTGTAAAAATAGCAGTCATTGCCGCTGTTCCCAAAATTTGTATGTACGTGACCAAAAAATCCTCTCCTTGTGTGATTCGCTTATGACTTGCGTAATTGCATCTATTAGTATTTTTAACCTTGCGCTTTTTAGGATAGTGAAGTCGTAGTTGAGAAATATGCAACCAACGACGACATGAAATGTCATGACGTGGAAGACTACGCAGACAATTCTAAGTCATCATATAACGAGTTCATAGACGCTCTGAAAGAAGTCACTAAAGATTTCAAGGACTGTCGTTACGCAGTTTTTGATTTCAAATTCACGGGTAGTCGAGAAGGAGCTGGTGCCAGTAAAATGTCGAAGATCATTTTTCTTCAAGTGTAAGTACAAAGTTCTTTTATGTGCATCATTTTTCTCTGTCGCTTTGTATTCCTTTTTCAAGACTCCGTTAATTAAAGGTAGTATGAGTAAAGATGCTAGTTGGTACATTAATCAGTATCGTAGTGTGTAGCTGGTATTTTTCTGGATAATCATTTCGACGTGATAAAATGACAATTACTTGACCTGTGCACGCATTCTCTACGTGTAACCTTTTCCTTTTACTTTATTGCTATCTTATCTGAATCAAACCTTCGCGATAATTTTTACGTGAAGGTAGTTAGAAATGCAATAATAACCATCGAAATTGATATTCAGCCTTATTTATCCCGATTCTGGCTCATGCAGATTATTACAAATTACGATTTCACCGGAGCCTTTATCCTCTTTCTTCTTTTTGATGATATATCGGTAGGTACTTCATGCAAATGAACGAATCCGTTAATTTTTGTTAATCATTGAAGCGTCTGATGGTTTCTTGCGTGAACGAGCATTGCCACAGTGATCACTCAGGTCGTTTATGGCTAAGTGCCTTGGATAGAAGGTTTTCGTATAAGGGCGATTAAACTAAGGTTTTGATTACTCAGATTCTGCCAGAGTAGAGGTATTCGCTTGAGGATACATTTAATTCTAAAGCATATGATTTAAATTCAGTGAGTAAAGTACCTATGCTGAAATCCTGATCGCATTTTTTTGATTATTTTCACATATCACAATAAAGATAAAGGCATTCGAAGTAAGGAGAACATGTTTTTCCGGAAGTTCATGTCTGAAGCAAGGTAAAGGTTATAAAACTCCTGTCAGATTAGTTTTTGCGTCCCTCCTCCGGATTTTGATTTGCAGTCGTATAATTTTTTTATCCGAGTGAAAGAATGAATCTTAGACGAGATGATCAAGTGCAATGTGCTATTCTGACGTATTTTTAAGTACAGTTGTTCACGATGATGCGATATATGAATTTCTAGTCTTAGCTGTTTATAATTAGTTGTGTATTTAATTCAGGCTGATTTTTTCCTCAGTTTATACATGACTTCATTGACCTTTTTTTTCATTATAGATATTCCGCATTATTTATTATTTGACTTATTCATTTATATCTGTCATTTATATTTTGTTCTGCTTCAGTTCTACAGTTTTTGTTTAAGAAATTCAAAACATGACTCATTTTTCTTAGAACATATACACATTTGTCAGCCACGTGTATCTTCATATATGCTCTTTGAACAACTATGTGAATGACAGTTATGCACTGCTTAATACCCATTATTATTATAAAATTCAGTTTTATTTAATTGGTTTATATTTCCTTTGAGTTCGTACCGCATCTTTCGGTTAGTTCCCAACATATAGTAGATTAGGTGAATTAAGATAATTTTCGGGTTATTTCTGTATATTTGTATTTTATATTGTATTTTATTTTTATGTATATTGCGAATTGTTTGACCTTTTACTCTAAGTTTAAATCAATTTCTATGCATCGATAATTAATTTACATTGAAGCAATTTGTTTCATTTGTAAAATTGCTCAGTTTATTTTGACCTACTCCGATTCTCAAGTAGATATTTTTTTTTAAAAGACAGTTTCTGAGAAGTGTTCGAAAAGCCGAGAATTTACTCTTCGGATCGCACCTCACTAATTGCTAACAGGCTCATAACCGGATTTGTTGCAAACCACATGAACACCTGCTACTTCCATAGGAAATAATACATATTATTGATTAATGTGTTAATATTAAAATTTCATGAAACTTCTGCTTTTTTCTACACAGACCATCACATCATAACTAAAGAGACAATTTAATTCGGTCATTAAGTTGTATGAAATCAAATTTTTTCTCTCATATGGAGTAGTTTTGTGGGTGCAATCACGATCGACTAGATGTAACCATCGTCGGCAATAATGGCAGTTATATCACTTTCAGAAGTTACAACCAACATTTTCCTGTTATCTTGCTTTTGATGAATTGGTTTTCGATTGATACTGTGGTAACCTCTATAGTCAGATGATTTACGGATCCCTCATTAGTAGTTCTTAAACTGGATGAATTGCTGGTGTAGTGTCACAAACAATTTATTTTTCGGCTCACGTTGCTATTGTAAACACTATTTGCTTTGGAACAGAAAAAAAAACGAAAACGTTTTTCTGTTCTGTTAATAAAAAAATAAATTTATGATTTGATGGACTTAAGCTCAACTATTATTTGAGTACCTCTTTTATTTTTTAAATTGATATTGTATTTTTTCTTCAGTTTTTGAACCCTGCATATTTTACCATTGTAAAACTGTTACGTACCACCGCACTACTAATGGTATCCAAGGTAGACCACTGGTTATGTCATGTACCGAGTTTCAGCTGACAGTATATTCTGTTATCGTTTCTGCGGAGTATCAAAGTAGAATTGACCACCCATTCGCTCCTCCTGTTGAGTCAGAAATAGTGGTGTTGTCGACCATGGCAGTAGTTCATGACAGTGTCCGTGTGACAACCATAAATTGACTTAAACTTTGTTTCACTTCAGCAACAAAGAATTCTCATGTTGCACTTCTTAGTTTCCGTTATGAAAACATTTGACATTATCAAGAATTTTTCGTTTGTTTGATGATAGAGAATTTAAATAATTGATAATATAAGTTCTTATTAGTAATGAATAATTTTAGACTTATTGGTGCTTTTCTGTTTGTAAACTAAGCAGTTTAATTCTTAGGTGCCCCGATGGAGCTAGTATAAAGCGGAAAATGATATACGCAAGTTCTGCTGCGGCAATCAAGTCTGCCCTTGGTCCAGCGAAAATCATACCGCTTCAAATTTGTGACGAGTCACAACTGTCACATACCGAATTGCTACATAAGTTGTGCGATCGATACTCGGATAAACGCATTTGAAGAAAAAGAACAAGATTCTGTTTAGATTTTTTGATTGCCCGGTTTTGTATTTTCTTTTAAATTATTCCGAAATATGTTTGTTTTTATGAATTTAAGCAAAGAGCGTAAATTAATGATCTAATGTTTTGTTGTTTTTGCTCTCAGCGTTTTTTTGGATCACAGGATGAGGGACCGGGTACCTAGATTAATGATATCTGACACCCAGTTTTCAAATTGATTTAGGCGATTTTTGGTTGCTGCGGCATAAATGATGTTCCTTGTTGCAAGTCCGCCTCATGCAATGTTTGTCTCCGACATATATACAGCCAATTTTTGCTTCCCGGAGGAGAATGGTTTTGTCTCCATTCTTTCTCCAGATCGTTCTGTAAAACCACAACAGAGACTGATCCCTGATTTTTCAGACAGCATTCTCAGGCTGATCGTTTCTAAAATTATTTCATTCTTTGTTGATGGAACCATCGGACTTCCGGAATGTTCCGTAGGCAACGCTGCTAAAAGTGTCCAGCAATTATTTATGGCGTTTAAAAGGTTGTACGTCTGGACTGAGTAGAAGGCTGCGTTCAGTATTGCGATCTTGGTTTTTTCGGATAGATTTGTTTTACCGAAAGACACCCGAAGTTCATAGATATCTTCCCTAAACGCCGTTCGACTTCCGTGTCGCAGCTTCCATCTCTTGTCGAGGTACTTTATGTTTTCCACCTCGCTCTTCGTTCCACACCCCACCCCTTCCCACCACATAATCCTCCATCGTGTTAAATAATATAGGTAAAAGCATATTTTCTTGGCGCACTGTCTCTTTTTGGTGTTAAACCAGTACGATAAGGGCTGGATGTGTAGCGAATCCAACGCTGCTTGGAGGTCGACGAATATTACACTCCAAGATAGCTATAAGTTCCTTCCCTTTGCGTTTTTTTGCTGTTGCGATGTTTTGCGTGCAGGAGAGCCTAATTCGGAACTCTGATTGATTTGATCGAAGCGAATCGTTGGCTATGTATACTTCAGTCTTTGGAGGAGAAATAGTGCGAATTCATTTGCAACAGATAGAAGCGTGATTCCGCTGTAGTGGACACAGTCAGAAAGAACCCCGAAATGAACGATGACGCCCTGCTGCCAGTTGTCAGGAATTTCCTGCTTCTGCCTAATGCTGTTAAAAACCAGATGGATCCGTTTAATTATGATTTCTCCTGGACACCGGACTAATCCCGTGGTGTCAGCAGATTTTCGAACTTCGACAGCGACGTATGACACGTCGGATTTCATCATTTGATGGAGCGGAGCAGTCAGTTTTCGGTCTTCGAACTTTATTTATAGGTCATCCACTGCAGCAGGACTGTTTAGGAGCTCTTCGAAGCGTTCGGTCCAGCTTGTCCAAGAGCTGCCTATATCAGGAAGAAGCTCGCCGAACTAGTTGCGAATCAGGCAAGTTAGATGCCTTTGTTTGCCGCCACATGTAATGATGTTGACTTGTCTGCGTCTTTCAGTCTGTCTTCAGAGCCGATTGTTACCT